ATAAAATTAAATTAAGATTAAAATATCTCCATTACAAGGGTTATGATAAAATTTGTTTATGGTACTGTGGAACACAGAGAGAGACATATCTTGAATTCAAGGAGAATAGTATCTTGGAAGTACTAACCTTTGCTGGACCATGAACAGCAAGGATGAATATCATAATATCATTCAGTGTTGCATAATGCATTTTAACTATCTGCCAAATATAGGATTCCTCCCAAGTAACGGAAGAAAGTATAATCACTAGCCAGAATGCACTACTTTAAACTAACTGCTCTCAAGGGTGTACTGAAGCTCAGCTGAAAGCAGTGAAGTTTGAAAATGTGAGCTGTGTCCTGACTAATTTTTAGGTGTTCTGTGTGCTTTGTATTTATTAAATTCCATGTCGTGAAACAGTGGATTATGCTAGCATGCTTACTAGCAGAAAGGTGTTTGTGAAGTTACCATGTAATATCATTAGAAGATTCTCATTCTCACAGTGGAAATACGTTTTTATTTGGCATCCCTATGTAAGAGACCCCCCAAAAATATTCTCCTAGACTTTAGTACTAAGAAAAAAATGACTTTCCAGACAAACTCATTTGAATTTTTATCATACAAAAATTATGATTCATCCCATGTTCCTTCCCTTTTGTAGTAAGGAAGAGAATCAAAAAATAGAGGGTTTAGTTGTTGTGACTATCTCCTCACAGATTCCAGTAAATATATTTATTCTTCTAAATTATTTCTGATCATGCTTGTCACTTGCTTAAGTTATTTGTTCTTTTATATATATTCAAACACCACAAACTATTAAAAACCATTTTGAAGTAAAAAGTATTCTAAAGTATCAATAAATAAATGAACAGATAGGTAGATGGTTTCAAGGATAGATGATATCTTTCATTCTCTTAAAAACAGATCTTCAAATATAGTCGATATTAATGCTGTATCATGGTTTTCTATATGCTTTTTATCAACAAAAATATTATTAATATAATAATTTTTAAAGTATATTTTATATCTAAGAATGTACTTAGTTTTTCATAATTTGTTCAAGTCACCAGAATATACATATTTACACTTTTAATCATAGCATTAATGAATTAATATTTTCTAATGCATGTAAAACAGTACCTGGCATAGAGAAAGTGCTACTCTAAATGCTTATTTCATAAATTGTTCTAAAAATATTAAAAACAGTTGCTAAAACTTGAGAATTATCAAGAGGATTAATTTTAACAGTGCATGGTTAACTGAGGAAATACAAGTATCCCAAGAAAAAAAAATGGCAAATATTTTTTAATACTTCCTAAGACACTTCAAATAAAATTTTTTTTTAAAAGATTTTATTTATTTGAGAGAGAGAATGAGATAGAGAGACAGAGAGCACATGAGAGGGGGGAGGGTCAGAGGGAGAAGCAGACTCCCTGCTGAGCAGGGAGCCCGATGCGGCACTCGATCCCGGGACTCCAGGATCATGACCTGAGCCGAAGGCAGTCGCTTAACCAACTGAGCCACCCAGGCGCCCCACTTCAAATAAAATTTTAACAAAGCATCACTGTCTCTTTTGTGTTACAATATTAACATTTAAAACAAACGTGCCTAAAAAAAAATAAAAAATAAAACAAATGTGCCTTAGGATGGAACTGACATCAAGAGAACAACACTCCCCAAGAGAAGTTGCAAAACCTCCTACTGAGTGTGAAATATTAAAAACTGGTTCATTTCTGACCACCAGGGATATAGTACAGAGCCAGTACACAATGTACAACTCTATATAATGATGTTAATAATACATGAATAGATTCTCGATTCACCAAATATCAGGGCACTCTCGAAACTTGAAGAAGTAAACGTGGGACATGTGGAAAGAAGGCACAGTCTCTCAGGCTCTGGATACAACAGTGGCTATTATTAGGAGCTTAAGGGTGAATGAACAAAAGAATCAGGATTCTTTAGAGAGTATTCTTCAAATTTTTCCATCTTAGGGGACAGCTACAGGCATAATAACATTTGACTAAAGAAGAAATTAAAGAAGTGGCTTCATAAAAAATTGAAGTGTGATTTCTCAGAGGCTCATCTCCATGCAAGGGCAGAACCACTATCAAAGTTAGACCCAAACGAGCTTTCTATAATTCATTACAAAGAAGCACCACCTTGGGATCTATTGGGCAATGAAAACTCTAAGCTCCAGTTAGAAGCTAGAAGAGGCTAGAAATCCAATTGGTACCAAGTTTTATCCCAGTGGATCACAAAGATATTAACAATACCCTAGCCTACACACAAGAGCTAGATTATAACAATAAAGCATACAGCTGGGGCCCTCCCGTTTAGCCTCTGCAACAACTTTCAGGTCTAGGTAAGTTGTTTAGCCTTCTATTTGAATCCAGTTTCATGTGCATTACACGTTGTGGTGTGTATTATATATTTTGGTATACATAATGCACCTGGATAGTGCACACCTATGTAAAATGTTCTGTGCCTTTAAAACTGACAGTGATAAACGAAGTCAACTTCAGGTGTCATATATGAAATGGAAAAGTTACTATCAAAGCAAAGGCAGAAGCAAATTCTTGAATGTGTGCTTCAAGCCTAACAACAACTTCTATCTTCTGTTTGAAAACTAGTCCTCCGTTTGAGCCAGAGTGAATAGATGGCTCCTCCACCACTGGTTAGCTATCATGGGACCTGCTTTCTCATCTATAACATGGGAATAATACTAATATTGCACACCCCCAAATGGGTAGTTTGTGGACTTAAAGGACAGTTAAAAGCTTCTATTACCATGCCCTAGAATAGTGCTTCTCAACAGAAATGCAACATCTTTTATATCTGATGCATATTTTACGCTTAGAGTGTATCTCAATTTAGTTTAAGCCCCATTTCAAGTACTCAGTAGCAATATGTGACTAGTGACTACTATATTGAACAAGGTAGTCCTAGAATATAGTTAACGTTCATTAATACAGTAGTATTAATGTTTGTAGTAGTATTTGACTATTCCTTGGTATCACTGATATTGGTATTATTATTATTCTTACAAAAATCCTAAGCTATGCTTATAACTGTTCACAGAATTATAAAATAATTTTAAATTCTTTGCTAATTTTCAGAATATACAAGCCTCCAGTGATGCTACAAAAGCTAATAAAAATGAAAGCATATATGCACCTTAATATGTTAGGAAAAATTACAAAGAAAATTGTCAAAGAGTACAGCAAACATTAAATGGGAAAAAAACTGTATGAACATGGGGGAAATTTTCAGATAGAGCATATATTTCAAGAAAAGGTTTTTAGAAGGCAGGAGTTAAGGCTAATAAATATAGGTCCAAATTTTGGCTTATAGCCAATATAGTAGGAATTATTAATTAAACCCTCTGCTTATTACCCAGAAGATCAAGATAAATTTAAAGGCCTTAGACAATTGAACAGAGGAGTAACATGGACAAACAGATGTATTAGGAAAATTTAGCAATGCTCACTTTGGCAGAACATATACTAAAATTGGAACAATACAGAGGAGATTAGCATGGCCCCTGAACAAGGATGATACACAAATTCATGAAGTATTCCACATTTTTCAGCATAAGAAACATAGTCAATGATAACGTAATAGTGTTGTATGGTAACAGATGGTAGCTAGATTTGTGGTGAATGTAGTATAACATAGAGATGTTGAATCACTATGTTGTATACCTGAAGTGAATGTAACATTGTGAGTCAACTATACTCAAATAAAAAGATTTAAAAAAAGAGACAATTTAGATATACAGTTTTGAATTAAGGAAAAATTAGAATTGTACAAGACCTTCTAAAACATAATTACTTTGTAAGTCAGGGAGCCTCTTTGGCGGGGGGGGTGGGGAAGGAAAAGCTTGAAGTTTTAAGAGATCTATGCCTAAAGGAATATGTAGGCCTTGTTATTAGATTCCAAGGAAGAAACTTCTCAGGACACTGAGCCTTCCTAGGTCTGGCCTAAGAGGCTATTGTCCTGAATCCACAGAGCATTCTATCTCTTACCTGATCTCTTTCTGACAACCCCTAATCATGCTGCAGATATCAACTTAGCCTCCCTTCCTTGGGAAGATTTTCCTGACTCTAAAAGACTCTGATAGATGTCTATGGCACATTCTTTTACCTTTATGGTAGTTCTTACCACAATGTATTTCAATTCCAAGAATATGTACCTATTTTTTTCTTCTTGAAACTTTTTTTCTTGTTTACTTTCTATCCCTGAAGGATCTTGTAATTTCCTTTCAACCATCTACACATGTAACTTTTTTTTTTAAAGATTTTATTTATTTATTGGACAGAGAGGGACACAGTGAGATAGGGAACACAAGCAGGGGGAGTGGGAGAAGCAGGCTTCCCGCGAAGCAGGGAGCCCGATGCGGGGCTCTATCCCAGGACCCTGGGATCATGACCTGAGCCGAAGGCAGATGCTTAACGACTGAGCCACTCAGGCGCCCCTATACATATAACTTTTAAATCTATGTCCAAAACCTGCTGGAATTCTCTACCTTGATATATACAAAACTAAAATTATCATCCTATTTTTTTCAAAATCTCATCCTCCTCCTCCTGACTCCTATTTAACAACCTCATTGTTCTCTTGGTCACAAAAAAAAATCTTGAATTCATTCTTGGCTCTTCCTCTCACTGTGCCAGCCAGACAAAACATGGCCAGTCCTGTAGATAGCCCCACTGTCTACAGAATGCCTTTCCATTATTCTGACTCAGAGCCTCGTTAGTTCCTACCTAGATGAACACCTTTTGGCTGGCCCTCTGATTCAAGAGTCTCTCCTACCCCCGTCTGCTGACACATTCCTGCCAAATTTTCTCTTTTCTAAACCTTTTTATTTCAGTATAGTTTACCCACAATGTTACATTCACTTCAGGTATACAACATAGTGATTCAACATCTCTATGTTATACTATATTCACCACAAATCTAGCTACCATCTGTTACCATACAACACTACTACGTTATCATTGACTATGTTTCTAATGCTGAAACGTATGGAATACTTCATGAATTTGTGTATCATCCTTGTTCAGGGTCCATGCTAATCTCCTCTGTATTGTTCCAATTTTAGTATATGTTCTGCCAAAGTGAGCACTGCTAAATTTTCCTAATACATCTGTTTGTCCATGCTGCTCCTCTGTTCAAATTCCTTTTCTTGTCTCAGCATATTAAATCTTAACCGCTAAGCCTGCTTTCTAAATCCCCCATAATATGACTCCAAACTATCCTTCCAGCCTTAGCATCTACAATATCCTCAATTAAGTGTTCCAACCAAATTCTCTGTTACTCAAAAAAAATCCTTATACTTTCTCAACTTCATTATTTTTTCATTTTCTTTGCATAGGAATACATCACTCACACAATCTGTACCTAAAAATACCTTTTATTAAAAAATGATCTTTCTCTCACTTCAATCCCAATCTGTATTTTGGGACAAAATTTATATTATTGAGTTCCATCTTTTTTTATAGCTTCTAGTCAATTTGAAGTTCCTTGAGGAAGGAATCATGTCTTGTTTTTCTTAGTATTATTTTCAATCCGTCACCCTAGAGAAAAGTAGTAAAAATCTGAATGGAAGAAGAAAGCTCACCAAACAATATTCCTGCAAATGTCCCATAGTGAATTAGAAGCAAAGTGGAAAAGTCTGGTTATGCTCTAGATAGAAGAAAGATCCACCTGAGGGTAGGCTTCTTCAGTCTGTGGGGAGTTTGAAATATCACAGAGAAACTTATTAGGTAAATAATGGAAAAATATTTGCATGTGTTTATTATTTAATCACTCAGTACTTACTAAATGCCTATTGACATCCTCAAAATATTTCAAAAGAAGTTCCAAAAATGATAATTTACAGTATTCAAAGCCTCATTCTAAGTGACTATACTGTGGAGAAGTTTCTCTTGAGAATAAAAGATCGGCAAAACCTCTTCACTTGTTCACAAAGCCACCTTTTAACTCAGAAGTGTCCTGGAGTTGAAAAGGTAGTAACTCAAAAAGCACTGAGCAGCTGAACTCAATTCAACTTTGAATACTTCTTTATTTTTAGCAGATTCTCTGTTTCTTTTAGGTACATAAAAAATGCAAACTAGATCTTAGTAGAGCGGAGGCTGTAGACTTGCAAATAATAAATAGGCTGTTTGATAATAAGAAAAGCAAAATGCAAGCAAAAGAGCAAATGAGATTACAAATAAATTCAAAATGTCAGCTATAAAAAGAACCATGACTCGAGATCATAACAGATGCAAGTGATTTTAATAATCTAAAAAGCAAGGCCAAAGATGGTGGGAAAGAAAACCAAAATAACAAATGGTACCTGAGCAAAATATTTAATTATTGTGGCTGTTAGACATCCAAATGGCCAACAGACACATGAAAAAGTGCTCAATATCGCTCGGCATCAGGGAAATCCAAATCAAAACCTCAATGA